GAGTCTCATGGCACCTCAAAATTAACAATAATGCTACAGTAAACAGATTAATCAGACAACTGTGTCCATGAAAACTTCTGGCCATAACCAATGTGCAAGAGCCACAAGACTTTTTGTTGTGTTTTCTGCAGTGCACTTGATTTGGTAACCCCTCCTAAACAATAAAACACATCCATCACAAAGAAACCACAGTCTTGCACTTTAGGAGCCATAAACTGGCACACCCCAGTGCCAAATACTAATTCTCTTTCAAAACTCACCACCAACCTGAACAAGAACTCAGGAGCAGCATGTGTCCCATGGTTTGTGTGTTGGAACACCCTGGCTATGCAGACTAGCTGCAGCTGAAGAAAATATTGGACCTGGTCTTTGATGCTGTGTGAACTGTAGTCAAATTGGCTCAAAGGAGGTTGTGTCGCCAACATTTTAGTCCTCTGATATCAAGAAATGCTGTCTGGACACTTTGGAAGGCTCAACAACTCTGGGACTGATTTCTAGCAAACTACCGGGCTACCATGGTAACATACCGGCTCTTTTTGTGGGAGAAGCTGGATGGTCTCCCTGTGACCATTTCCAGAAGATGGGAGTTCCAGGATGTTCCAGAGTGAAGTGCTGCACCTCTCCAGGATCCAGATTAATGCTACCAGACATGAGATGGGTTGTGGGGCTAACACTATGATCAGCATGGTGGCACTCAGAGGCACAGATGGCTACTTTCATCCAGGACCTGCCCTTTGATGGAGATGGGCTTTTTAACACCAAGATGGACATGTGCATGGACACTATTTGCAAGGCATGGACTATTGCAAAGAAGGTGGGTTTCTTCCAATAGCTCACTGCCAAGCAACATAAGTTGTATGGACAGGGAACTTCCTCTTTCCCCCATCACTAAACAGACAGGGCATAATGGCAATCACCACCTTTCCATAGGTGGAAGGAACACAGCCCCTGGTACTGCCAGGGCCAAAAACAAACTGATAGGGACAGGGACAGGAGGTGATGACTGTCTATTGGGGCTGGCCCCTTGCTTCCTTCCATACCACCTTCTTTTGATTTTAAGGATCGTGTTTTTCTCCACTTGCTTGCATGCCAGGGGATAACATTGGTCACTTGGGTGCTGTTTATCAGCTGGAGAGGTTGCAGGTTTGAGTTTAATGCCTCCTGCTTGTTGGTACTGTGGGTGCAACACCCAGATCTCCAGCATTGAGGGAAAAGATTCACTTACTCCTATCAGAGAGAGCAATTGAGCAGATCCCTGCTTCGTCTGCTCACCGTGTGCTATTCACATGTTATTTCACTGTATTAAAACCGCTTCATCCTATCCTGGACCTGAGAGACCTTTCAAAAAATTCACACAAAAAGTTCCAGATGGTTAATTGCAGGACATGCTAACCCTCTTCCAATGAGGGGCTTGGGTCCCACCCATTGACCTCAAGGATGCCTATTTCTGCTTTTTTTATAGCATCCTCTCAGAGACATTTTCTTCATTTTCAAGTCTGGAGATATGTTCCAGTTTTCATTTTTACTCTTTGGACTTCCAACCAACCCCGTCAACAAGTGTTGCAGGTATACCCATACCTGGATGACTGATTTTTAGTGGCCCCAACAAGATTTGATCTGTTTGAATTGATCCATACCACATGCAGTTTAAAGGATAGATTGAGTCTCTGTATAAATTCAGAAAAATCAGTTCTCTCCCTTTCCCATATATCCTCTTAATTGGGCCATAGACTCCACCAAGGTGGCAGCATGTCTCAGAACGGCAGCATTGGTCAAGATGGCCTCCAAGCTCTGGCAACATGTAGCATCGGCTGTCTAAGTGGTTTTTCGGACTTATGGTGGTGACCGTCTTGATACTTCCCTTGACCAGGCTCTGGATGTGACCACTCCTGCTGTAGTTTGTCCACTTCTTCAGTCCCACAGTTGACTACTCATGAAGGTGCTTCTGGTTGCCTGCTACAGTCTGCTGCGGCCTCCCCTGGTAGACCTGACATACCAGCTTTTCCAAGGGAATACAATTTCTCAGTCTGTAGCTGTCATTTATGGTCATGATGGCTGCCTCCCTGCTAATATGGGGGAGCGCACTGTGGCTCACTACAGACACAAGGAACATAGAAAGAGTTGGAAACCTGCATGCTTATAACCTACCTTAAACGGCTTGCAGTACAAAAAGCTCTTGCTGTGCTTCCAACTTTCTTGCCAGGACACCCTGTGTAAGACATGTTGGACAACATTACAGTGGTGTCCTACATCAGCAAGCAGGGAGGCATTGGGTCAATTTAATTAATGTGGCTATGAACGGCGGGGGATCAGTGTGTCAACCAATGTACCACCTTGACAGCCATTCACACCACTGGGACTGACAACAGCTTAGCAGACTCACTCAGCAGGGGGAGTCTTAGCATTCACAAATGGCAAATGAAAGCAGAGATTCTGCACAAGATCCTCATAACTTCGAGCACTTTGTCAATAGATGTCTTTGCCACTCAGGGCAATGGTGTCTGTGAAATTTTCTGCTCTCAGGCAGGAGAGGCAAGTGCTCTCTGGGAGATGAGTTCCTGCTACACTGGACAGAAACTTCGTTTTCCATTTTCCCTCTTTTTCCTCTGATAACGTATTAGGGAAGGTTCAGTGGAATGCCACAGACTGCATCATGATAACTCCCTGGAGGCTGAAGCAGCCTGGTTTACCTGACTTTCCAACACTGCAAGATAAACTACATCTGGCTTATGCTGATATCAGACCTGATCTCAAGTGATCAGGGAGTATCCTTCATCTGGACTTCCCGACCCTCCACCTGACTGCATGGAAGATCTATTCCTAGGGCACTCACAATCATCTCTTCAGGAGCTACGTGACTCCATTTTACAAGCAGTCTTTAAACCAGTAACTAGAAAATACTACAAAGTGAAGTGGAAGTCTTCTTCTATTTTTGCAGAGACCAAAGGCTTCGATCCCAAGAGCAACATGGTTGACCAGATACTCCTGTAGCTAGTCACATAACTTCGGCACAGTTTGAAGGAGTCATCCAAGTCCACCTAGCAGCCACCTTCTCCTTCCATGACACAATCCAAGGTTCATTGGCTTTTTCACAAATGATGTGTAGGCACTTCCTGAAGGGACTAAAGAAAGTGTTACCTACTTCACCACTGACACCGTCTTGGATTTTGTTGGTAGTCCTACAGGCTCTAATGAGGAAGCCCTTCAAGCCTTTGGTAACAATCAATCTTTGTCTTCTCTCACGGAAGATGGTGTTCCTAGTGGTAATCATGTCTCCTTGATGTTCCAGTGAACTATGTGCCCCTCAGATGAATCCTCCATATTTTGACTTCCATTGGGACGGTGGTGCTGCATCAGATCCTTCTTACCAAAGGTCATATCCCTTTTTCATTTAAATCAAGACATTGTTTTAATGGCTCTTTTCCCCATCCCCATTCAGTCTGGTGGAGCTTAAGGTTCATACCCTGGATGTGTCTAGACCTCTCCAAGACTAAATCTTTCTGCCAATTCAGAATTGAATCTTTTGGCTAATCACCTAAACGTTTTGTTTGTTAAGGAGGAAAGGCAAAGGCCCAACCCCTTGCACCATAAAGACTTTCAGACTGGGTGGTAGAGACAATTTCACTGCTCTACAAACTGTCAGAACTGCAACCCCCACTATGACCAAAAGCACACTCAACTCAAGTGATGGCAGCCTCAGCATTACTGTGTGCAGTCATCCCACTGCTGGACCTGTGTAAGGCAGTGACTTGGTCCACCCCTCCCACCTTTGCCAAGCATTTTCACCTATCAGCAAGGAATGACTGTGCATTCGGGAAAGCAGTTCTTTCAGCGATACTCCAAATACAACACCGACCCGCCATCCACATATGGGTAAGTGTGCTAGTCACCCATATATGTGATGCACAGAGAGCACGAAGAAGAAAGGCACTTTTCTGTCATTCTTTAAGTAGTCACCTGTGCATTCACACAACCTACCCACATACCCCACTGGATTGTGAGTGATGTAGCTATCTTGTGTTTTGTAGGTGTCTTTTTCTGTTTTCCTTCTTTGACACTACTCACCAGTGCAGGGATGATGCTATTTTGCTGACTGCAAGGTCAGTACTGCCAATCCTCCCTCTGCACCCAGGCCTCCAGGTGGCCTCTTTGGGACTGGGGGAAATTGTGGGAGCCCCTTCCTTTACTATGGACACTGGAATGGGGGAAAGTTTCCCACCAAATTGCTCTCAGCTATTGAATCTTCCCAGTAACAGGATCCATGTAGGCAGAAAGTCCATATGTATGTATGACCAATCAAAGAATAAGTTACAGGTAAGCAACCTGCCTTTAACATCAACAAGAGGAAATCTGGTTGGGGAAAGACCATGTAATAGTTTTGTCATTCCTTCAATTGATAGCCCAGCTGTATGTGTTTCCTTTGAAAGAACAGAACTATGCTCCTTTTCACTGAATTGCCCTCAGCATGGGGAACATACATCCTTTCAGCCTACTTTGATCTTCTAGTCTTAAGGCAGAATACAGCCCTATCTAGCTTTGGTGTGTCTAACTCTGTAATGTTCTTAGATAAATTGTTGCCACTGTTGTCTCTTGGCAAAAGTAGCATCACTTACAAAAAGGAAAAAGGGCTAAAGCAAAATATACATTGCCCAATTGTGCATATCCTCTAATCCATATTTTCAGGCATTAAATCAAACCAATCTGACTCTTTTTCTCAAATAAAGGACAGGCTATGTTAATTAAGCTCCACTTTACTATTTTAGAATTTAAGACAATGAAAGTGTGGAGTTTCACATATACCCTAAGCTGGGCTAACTTGGCAGAGCCTTCTCAGTGTGTATTGTATATAGTGAGCATTAGTGGAGACCTTTGCTGCTTGTCTTTTCCCAGTGTTTCACAACTTAGTCGTACAGATACTGTACAACAGTGAGCATGAACCTGCATCATATTGGAGCAGAACCCTGAGACAAGTAAATACACACAAAACAAAACAATTACCTATTTTAATAGTACCAGTTATAAGAGAAGATGCTTCATTTTAAAAATGTAAGCAAAGAGAAGGAGCCATTGTTTTCTTTTGCCTATAATATGAATTACTCAAATTTATCACAATGTAAAAACAATAAATACAGTAATACAATTTGAGATTTTGAGTGCACCTCACATCTATGGTCAATTTAAACAACCCAGTTTTAAGTGCTAATGCTGCGTACATGTTTTCAATCTCTCAGTATATCAAAAGGCACCTGCTGGTTTCAAGTTCAAATAGAATCAGACCCAAGTCACTGCACATTTGGCATTTACTGCTGTGCGTCTTCACTACTGTTGGAGACCAGGGGATCCTGTGTTGGCTGTCATCAGCCCTGTGAACAGTTCTCATTGTTCCCATGTATCCACAGGCAAATCTGGGCATATTTGAGGGGAGTAATTCGAACTGCAACATTGTAATCCTGCTGTTCTCCATTGATGTCCACCCACTGATGACCAGAGTAAATGGCAATAATTTTGCGCCTCCACTTTTTCTTGTTTGGTTCTTTAAGGCGCAGGTAGATTCCTGATCCAGTGGAGCCAGGCTCAGCATCACAATATTGGTAGAATAGATCACTGGATTCATCTGATATGCTGCAAAACCGATAGACTAGCTGCCCAGCTCGATCAGCATCATATCCAGAAAAATGAATCATGCTTCCAGGCATCATTTTACTAGTGGGGCTGATGCCTAGCTCCATGTATTTCTTCTTGTGGGGACGCTTGAGCTCCAGAACAGCATAGTCGTAATCAACTGCAACATCTCCAGTTAGACCCTTCAACCAGCCTTTGGGGATTTGAGTGCTTTTAACTCTGGTCCACTGGAAAGAGGGCTTATTGTCAGATTCTTTCTTTTTATTTGCTCCAGAGTCCTTTTGTTTTCTTCCAGTTCGACTTTTCCTGGATCTCTGCTTCAGGTCTTGGTGATTCTCTACTTCTGATATCTCTCTTGTGTTTCTCTGGGCACCCCTGCGCCTCTTGCCATTGCCTTTGGACTTCATCTTTAACAAACCCACTCTCAGCTTTTTACTGCCTCTGATATAATCAGTACCATCATGCACACAGTGAGCAGCAGTGAGCACATGCTTTGGGGAAATCAGGATGCCACTGCAGCCTGTGGAAATCTTTACGGCTGTGTTAAAAGGGAAATTGGTCAGGAATCGCAAGTCTGAGATGCTGAATCGGCTGTCTGTGCCATAGACCTGTCTCTTTCTCCTAGACAGCACTTTTGTGGTGGAGGTGGTGGTGGTGGCATTGCCTTCTGTGTCGAGCCCCAAGATGTTCACTTCAGTCAAGGTCCTGGTGCCATTTTCAAAGATAGTCTCATAGGAGAGCAGCTCCTTCAGGTCAGCCAAGTGTGGCAATGGGAGTGTCCTTTGGCACTCAATTCCGCATACTCCACTCAACTCTAACTTGACATTAGCTTCAAATTTAGGAGTGTCAAGAGAGAAAGTCTTTTGCTTTACAATCTGTGGCACTTTTTTTAATTGCCAGCTGAAATCTTGTTCAATGTCTATTCCTTCAATAATGCTCAAGGCAGGAGTGAAAAATAGTAGTAGCAGTAGAACAGGGCCCATCATGTCTTGTTCTTTTCTGTTTTAAAAACAACAGAAACACAAGATATGTTTATCTAAAAACTGTAAAATTCACAGGAGTTTCCATTTAAAGGATGACCTAAGTATGGTACTATTTCTACATCATGGAAAAGACATTAAAGTAACACCAGCACTCCTATAGATACAGTAAACAGCACAGAATAAGGTATTCATACAACCATCAGTAACTTTTTTGTTTTTAGGTTATGGCTTCCTTCTGCATTTAATTACATAAATATTGAGCATATTATTCATTTGGCTATGAAAAACTGGAGACATTCATGAAATATTTTTCCTTCTGTTTGTTCTTTTAACTGCATGGTGGCTAAGACTTTGGAACTATGGTAAGTCTAGAATTAGGAAGAATACAGGCTGTATTCCAAATCCATTGCTATCTGTACGCAAGTGAATGCAGTAAAGTATTTGAGGAGCAGTGCAGGATTCTTTGTCTGGGAACCTTAAAATCTTATTTTTAAAGGATGAATGGAACTATTTGATTCAAAACTTGTGTCCTGGTTTCTTTAAGGCCCATAGGAAATGCTGTATGTTGCCTGAAGATAACAAATATTGTAGCTACATAAAACTGTTTCTGGTCCAATTCATAGTGTTGTTTAACCTACAAAGTCTTGGATGGCTCAGGACTGCAGTACCTGATGGAGACTCTCTCCCTTTTGGAATCTGATTAGGCATTCAAAATTGGTGGCCTTTCTTCAAGTACCTGCTCAAACAGAACATTGCTACAAGGAAGAGCACTTATAGAATGCTGTTGCCTGGTCTCATCTTGGGACCGAAGAGATAATGGTGTTGATGCCAAGTCAGTCCTCCCATGTTATATGATGGAGCTGTAGGACAAACTGGGTGACTGACATTAAGCCTGGGCAGGCTGGTCACGTCCCAAGCATTGTCAATACAAATTGCAGTAATACAAATGGCCAGGAATTGAGCGATCTCCCACCAAAAGTTCATAGCCCAACCCCCCGGTAGCCTAGCCTTCCAGGTAAGTGCAGGAACCACCTTTATTCAAATGTGCCAATCAGCGCTTGCAGCAGAAATTTCAATTCACTGGGCATCTGTCATCATTACTTTATCAGCAGAGGTCTAAGAGGACTCTGCCATGCTTTTTGTGTATATTACTATTTTGCTGTGATTGAACTTTATTCTCAAGAATAAGAGAGTTTTGTACCTCTCAGCCTTGTCATGCATGACTGGGCGAAGTGTGCCAGGTCCAAGGAAGATCATGAATCCTCCTCCAGGACTGACTCTGCCAGCATCAGACCATTTGTCTGTGAGGACCCTCCTGGGAGGAGAGGATTGATCAGAACTGCCTGTAAGTTGCAACACTCTTGCTTATGAGAAGATCAAGGGTCTTAGCCATTCAAGAACTGGTGGGTGAGTAATTGTGCCCCCTGCCCACAGAGTGCCCAGGAAAGACAGTCAGGAGAGCTCTTAGTGTAATCGGAATATGGTCAGGAGAGCTGTCATCAGAATTCTTTGGTGCAGCTGGAAAAGGCTGTGCCCAAGGGACCCAGAAAGGACTCTCCATAATGCTGAGCCTGTCAAGGAAGCTAAACTGTTTGGAGGGATGGGTCAGGGTCAAAGTAAGCCAAAAAAGGGATGCCTCTGGCTCAAATGTACCAGGAATTTATGGCACAGGGATGGGGAAGTGGCTCTTTCACCAAAAGAAATTGTCAGATTTTTTGATGGCTGCCCCATGAATCTGAAGGAAGAAAATCATGGTTATGGCGAAGGGGTTGGAATAGAGATTTGATTTTATCATTGCAACTGTTTTATAAACAAGGAAAAAAGTGGTTAAAGCATGAGCATGTGCTGTTGTTTTATTCTCTGGCTTGGTGCGAGAGCTGCTGTGTGTGCGTGTGAGATTGGAGACACTGGATGCTAGAGAGGGATGATGAGAGAGGAAATGACACTCTTTCCACTGTCTTGTGATTGGGGAAGGGATGGACCCTATGAGAAGAGCTCCCCACTGCCTCACTCTAACACCTCAAACTGTGCATCACTCACCTCTCCATCAGCAACCTTTCCAAGGAAGCAAGAACCGCTGATCATTCAGCAATTAATCCATGATCCCACGTGGATCTATAGCAGCTATTTTCAAAGGCTTTTTTAAACAGAAAAATGCCCATCTCCTAAAGCTACCAAAACAGTATCTTAGTGCATTTCCTTGGCAAGATCAGAGATCTTACGATCACCATCCAAACCTCAATAATTTCAACACAGGATCTCACCTGATCCTGTGCACTAAGTGGGTTAGAGAAGCCTATGTAGGAATGGCATTCTTTTAAATGGAACAAGATTCTGGAAAAATTTGAGAGAAGAACTCTTATTGCTTCCATGTGTGTCTGCAAAACCCTGTCATGTGTAAATCTTTGTTAATAATTAAGACTGTTTTAAAGTGCTTCTTCATGGACTAGTCAGGGGTGGATAATTTATGGCCTTCTAGATGCTTGTAGTTCCGATCATGTATCACTTCTGGCTATGCTAGCTAGGGCTGTTGGAAGCTGTAGTCAAAAACAACTACAGGGCAACACGTTGTCCACCCTTGGGCTAGATACCTCACATACTGAAGTGGAACAAGGGTTGTTTCACAATAAAGTGTGTGAGTACAATAAAAGATTAGTAGGGTAAGAAAGCTATTAGTTTGTGGGATGAGAACTGGTCCCTAGAGCCTATTTCATCATCTTTTGTATCAATATATACTACTGGTTGTGCCTTGAGTTGTCAACTTAAATGGAGACTTTATATTTTTCCTATGACTCCAGCTGCCCACACACTTTTTTAAGCCAACATGGAAAGAGGCACTAGAAATTTGTGGCATTAAAAAAAAGATTTTTTAGTAAACATTCCCTGACTTAGCACAAGTGATCATTTTAGAAGCTATTTGCATTCAAAGGAAGTTGAAAAACATGGGGTTTATCAAAGAGTAACTTTCTTAAAAGCCTATGGTAAATCTACACTGAGCCCAGAGGTTCTGAGTATTAGTAACCTGGAAAAAACATGACTTCTCACAAGACATGTTTAGCGCTTTAAAATATTTACAAAAACACTGGGTGTTACCCTTTGGACAGTAAAGTTTGCTCTCCTTTCCCACTTCATAAATTCAGCAATATGGAAACCTCAGTCATATGTGGAAATGACAGCACTAATTATAACTCCAAAGCTAGGCATTTAGGGACATCCATCTGGTTAGAATCTATGGTTAGATATTGTAATTAAAGTGCAGGTCAGGCTAAAGAGAGCTCTCTTTTTGGCATTATATACCAGCATTCAAAAAGGGCTGAAGTCCACATAACTGTAAAAATTACTGTCAACTCAGAATTAAAGGCTAAGGAAAAGGTGCACAATAACCTGTGGCTCCAGTTCTAGGAAAAAAAAGATAACAGCTCTGATCCAGATACTGATTTGAGGACAGTTGAATTCTATGACATCTGTCAGGAACACCAGCATAATCCCAGAACGGCTTGTGAGGCTGAAGCTAAACAACAGCTGATGCTCCTCCTCTCTAGAAGTGTATTTGTTGGTACTTCAGATTTGGTTTCATACATTTTTCCAGTTAAAATCACAAATACTTTGAAATATACATGCATTTCTTCACGAGTGAGCCATCTAACAAACCAGGTCTCTGCATGGGTATCTGTCATAGTAATGGAAGAAATCCCACCCAACAGCCTAGGGGACAGGAGCAGTCTTGGGACACTTCTTTCGTGCTTCCTCCTCAAGTACTGTGGGAGACATGTGAGTGTTAGTCAGGGAAGGGATGCAGGAAGGATGCCATCTTAACTCAAAGTTGATACCTTCCTGTTCTCTACATTCTAATGGAAAATACTACTGCAAGCTGCTCCTCAAAGTGCTACCAAATAAAGGGCCTTTAGCACTAACAATCAGAAGGCATTGTGCAGCTCTTCCATCTTTTCTTTCCTTAACAGATTTTCTGTGGTAAGAAGAAGATGGAAGAAATGGTAGGAAAACATAAGGGGGTCACAAGTAGAAGATGATCTTGTCTGAACACCCTGTAAGCTTCTGCGAATGCAGCAGAACAGTAGTATAAAAGCTTCATCTGGAAGCTATTGCAATGAAATCCCTCATGATGTCCTCTGCTATTTATTGGTAAGAGAAAAAAAGCGTCTAAAAATAATGTGTAGTTTAAATCCAGGAAGCCTTTTCCCACTATTTTTACCCTGACTCAGTGCAAGTATCAGTGCAGACAATGACATGGAATGTGTATGTGGGGCAGGGAGGGGTGAAAGTCATTGATAAGTTGAGTGTAAATCATGCTTAGTAGAGAATTCAAACACTACTGTTGGTTACATATGGATCTATAAAGAAAGGAATTGTAAGACAGATGTAGGAAGCACTTTTTCCTATTGTGATTAGCACTACCAAACTTTTCTATGTACTATAAAGAGATATAGTATGTACTTCTTTATAACTCCCACACTTCAAGAAATATGTTGAGAGCAAGAAAAGATCCCTTACAGAAAAGCAACAAAAATTATGTAGGAGCTAGACACAATGACCCCCTTCATGGATCACTGCCTTGTCGAGGCGAAGGGGCTTGCGTAGCTCAATCAAGCTATGAGCTATGCTGTGCAGGGCCACCCAAGACGGAGGGGACATAGCACAGAGCTCTGACAAAATGTGAGCCACTGGAGAAGGAAATGGCAACCCATTCCAGGATCTTTGCCATGAAAACCCCATGGACAGTACCAAAAGGCAAATGATGCCGGAAGATGAGCCCCTCAGGTCGGAAGGTGTCCAATGTGCTGCTGTGGAAAAGCAGAGGGCTAGTACTAGTAGCGCCAGAAAGAATGAAGCAACTGGGTCAAAGCCGAAAGGACACTCAGTTGTAGATGTACCTGGTGGTGAAAGGAGAGTCCGATGCTGTAAAGAACAATACTGCACAGGAACCTGGAATGTAAGATCTATGAATCAAGACAAGCTGGATGTGCTCAAACAAGAGATGACAAGACTGAACATTGA